CCCTTTAATTATACAATTCTAAATAAAATTCTTAACTGAGAGAAGTTGTTTGTCTTATGTCCTGAAGATCATTTTGTTACACGACACTTGACTTTAGCTATGTCAAGAGAAACAAAAGCAACCCTGTGGAGGCTGAACATAAATGTTCTAAAAGGACAAATGAAGGAATTGGTTAAGGAAATTCAGACGTATGTAAGGGAGAATGATAATGTTGAGGTGTCTCCATCTGTGCTGTGGGATGCGGGTAAAGCTGTTATTAGAGGGAAACTAATTGCTAAATCAGCATATTTAAAAAGGCAAAAACAGGAAAAACTCAATAAACTAGAATCAGATCTTAAGGAACTAGAAAAACAACACAAAAATAAAGTGGATGAGAAAATAAACCAAGAAATCAAAAGGGTTAAAACAGAAATAAATGACATCCTAGCACAGGAGATTAAAAAAAAAGATGATGTACTTGAAACAGAGGTATTAAGAAACAGGAAGTAAGTCTACAAAGCTGCTGGCCTATAGGTTAAAAAAGCAAATGGCAATTTATATTTACAAAATCAGGGATCCATTTACTAATTCGACAAAATATAAGACAGAAGAGATACATAATTGTATTGACAAAAATCTTTATTCTCAACCAGACATAAATAATAAGGATCAAATACTCTTATTATTAGATTCTTTAAATTTGCCAAGAGTAACTTAGGACCAGAACTCAGCTCTGACCAAGGAAATCTCAACTGAAGAAGTCAACTTAGCAATTTCAAAGCTGAAGACAAACAAGGCTCCAGGCACGGATGGATATACATCTGAGTTTTACAAAGTGCTTCAGGAACCATTGATCCCCCTGCTGAAAGATGCATTTAACTGGGTACTGAAAAAGGGAGAAATACCGAACTCCTGGAAGGAAGCCTTCATTTCAGTTATTCCAAAAGAAGCAAAGGACAAATTGGAATGCTCTAATTATAGACCAGTGAGTGTTCTTAACCAAGACTACAGACTATTCACTGCCATCCTAGCCAGATGTTTAGAAACAATTCTGCCAGATATAATTCACCAGGACCAGACTGGATTTATAAAACAAAGACAGACACAGGACAATATTCGGCACACATTACATGTAATGCAAAACATAATCAAAAAAAGATTAGAAGCAATAATAGTGGGACTGGATGCAGAAAAGGCATTTGACTCTGTCAGGTGGGATTTCCTGTATATGATGCTGGAGCGATTTGGTTTCCATGAAACTTTTGTTAAAACTATTCAATCTCTCTATAATAAACCCACAGCTAGGATCAAGGTCAATGGAAATCTCTCAAACTCCTTTATACTAGAACGTGGATGTCGTCAAGGCTGCTCAATTAGCCCTCTCCTCTTTGCTATCTATTTGGAACCTCTGAGCCAATGGATAAAACAAAACGAAGATATTAAAGGTGTAGACATAGAGGGGGATGAACAAAAAATAGCATTATTCGCGGATGACGTATTGGTATATCTGACGCAACCCACTGAGTCTCTTCCAGCACTCATGTCAACACTTGAGGACTTTGGTTTATTATCAGGCTATAAATTGAATGTGAAAAAGACACAGGTTCTCACATTCAACTATGTCCCGGATAATAAATTCTGTGCATCAGAATGGTGCGCTGACATGCTTACTCGCCCAATACTGAATTTTAGGCATTAGGCAAAACTGTAGCTGTGAGTGACTTATTGTCAGTTGTCCCCTGCTATGTCTCTCCCTACCAGAACTCTGCCTCACTTCAAATGGACTTTGGGGCGCTAAGATCTAAACCTAGATTTACTTTCTTTGCCAAAGCTGTGGACATCACAGATGTTACCTCTTCATTCTTACATCTGTCATCTGGTCTGAGAGTGTCTAGCGCAAATGACTGAAAGAGTATATTTTTTCATGGTTGTAGTGCAAGTTTGCTAATTGTTCGCTTGTAGTCCACTGTATTACTTATAGTTATGTGTCATAATATGGTTCAATTCTTATACTTTTGAGGCTTGCACAGCTATGTAGCCACTGGCAGAGAATCAGCCAGCATTTTTCACTACATAAAGCTAAGGCCAAAGTATGATCTTGCCTTTCTGTAAAGTTTCTTCAATGCACCCCTCATGCACTCTCGTATATGGACGCTTGAAAGAGAGAAGATTTGAAGAGGCAGTATCGTTTTATCCCTGTTGGAGCGTCACTCTAACACAGTTACACATCCCTGAATTCAAGGGAAACAAACAAATAGTGTGGTGTGACAATGGGTCTTATCATGTCCTTGGCTGCTCAGTGAAGTCTCAACATCCCGCTGTTTACTTGGACATAAAGTGTAGTAAGAAACAGGGTTAAAGGGTGATATGCATATAATAGCTTCTTCAACAGGTTGTGTATGGTTTTACAATGACCAGGTCAAAGAGTCATCTAGGTTCTTAAAATTATAAATCTGCCTTGCTAATGTAGCTTATGTAATGTAGCTGCAAAGACTCAGTATGCTGTTTGAGCTTGAGAGATCCATGTACGCTGGATTTCTATTTCACTGCTGTTCATTAGTGATGCTATTTTATTGCTGTTGGCTAGTTATTTTCATTATATTACGCAGTATCATCTGCATGTAGTTCAAGTTAAGCATCTTCCCTCTGTCTATAGATAAAGCATCTCATTCTAAGGTAACAAAAACACAATGACTCCTATTTTCAGGTGTGGGGCGGCTGTGGCACAGAGGCAGAGCGGGTTGTCCCCTAATCGGAAAGGTTGTTGGTTCCCAGCTCCTGGTGCCACATGTCGAAGTATCCTTGAGCAAAACACTGAACCCTGAATTGCTCCCGATGCTGTGCATCGGTGTGTGAACGTGTATGAATGCATTAGTTTCTGTTTGATGGGCTTTGCCATCACTGTGTGAATGTGTGCGAAAGGGTGAATGTGGCACGTAGTGTAAAAGCGCTTTGAGTGGGCAGAAGACTAGAAAGGCACTATACAGGTACAGGTCCATTTACCATTTATATCTGACGCCAAAATGGGGTGGCTACTGCCTTCATGCCACCCCTCTATATCCGCTGCCTGACTGCTAGCAAGACAGGACAGTACAGCTAGGCACAACAAACAAACAAACTGCTGCTTTCATTTTTGTGTGCGCGCAGGTTTTACTTTGGTTTGATGTCACTGCTGCAGGACTAGGGCTGCACAATTTAATGCAGTAGTATTGAAATCACAATATGGCCGAGTGAAATATGCAAATTGTAAAATTAAGTTTTTACCATATTGTGCAGCTCTATGAAGGCCCCCTTTTCCAGGTCATGGTAGACCTCTATGTAGTCCGAACAGTCAATACCCTTTCTGCACTTCTTGGGGCAGACATTCATATAATGAACTTTTGCATGAGAACCATGTGGAAATATAACTTTATTGTGGTAAAATACTCATCCGGTCTGACCTGGCAGTACATAAAAGGTGCATAGTATATAGCTATCACCACAGTTATAATTACACAGAAACACAATACAAAAGTTCTACAGTGGTTTCTCATATCAGTAGCAACGTCTGGATTCAACTCTGTAGCAGCATGTACTATTTAATAATTCATCATATTCAGGATCCTCACCATTATCAGTCAACAAAGCAAGCATAGTACATGACGCATATATAATGGGTGCATTTAAATTTCTAAAATGTTTTGTAATATTTGTGGATACTCAGAATGTATGAAGATGTTTTCTCCTATCTGGAGGTAAAAGCAGCACACCAAGCATTGTTGATATATTCAGCAGCATTTCAGGAAAGAATGGAATCTAATCCCTGTAATTGTTATATAGTGTGTTACACAAGCGATCAATATTGCATCTGTCAATAATGTAACTTTCCTGAATGAATTTGAATGTTTTGATAGGTCTACACACGTATATCCATGGATAAGCTCATTATAACTGTTGCAGTAAATCTTTTCAAGGATTAGGGTTTAGATTTAGAGCTGTAGTGTCCCAACGTGGTCTAAATTCCATCAAAAAGGATTTTACACCTTCATACACTTGATTGACAGGTCATTCTCATTGAGTCCATTGAGCGCAATGCACCAAACTCATATCAAACTGTTAAACTACGCAGTGATGATCAAATATGAATCACGATTATGTTACTGCATTGCCTATGTCTTGCCTCAGACCTGATCAGATCAGAGCCCTGGTGGTTGTTGCTTCAGTATACTGTCGATACACTAGCAGCAAAGTGCAGCAGTTAACAACAGATTATTTTAAATTAGAGGTTTCAATCAAAAATGGCAGTGCTGAAATCAGATTAGTATTTGAAATGGACCTTATTTTGTCCAAAGATTTTACATGTATAGTAACACGCATCTTAACCTACCCAAAGGGAGTTTCTCTTTTAATGGGTTAGTCAGACATGCAGAGGTTACACTTTAATAGAGGTTGCACACAGTTCAGGTGAACTTCAGCTGTGCTTCAGCTCCTTTGGCAGGGTGGGACAGCCTCAGGGGGGGTAGGGGAGGCAGGTGGGGTCAGCCGTGACAGGGACAGTTGACTCTGAGACGGTCCAATAGAACACTTTCTGGCAACTGGGCTGCAAAATGGAAAGACATGGTGAGGTTATTAGGTTAGAATGTAAAAAGTCTGCATACACTTCTCACTTGTAACGTTTTTTTAAAGCTGCAGTAGGTAATTGTTTATTAAATTTTTTTTTTTGTCATATTTGCTGACACTTTCACTATATCCTGGCAGTAGTACATGAGACAGATAGTTTGTGAAAAATCAGGTTCCTCTGGCTCTCCCTAGTGTTGCTGATGGCATTTGTAAAAATCCACTGGGCCTGAATGAAAGCAACCAGCATGCTAAAATGAGCCAGAGGAACCGCATAGTCACATGTGCTACTGTCTAAAGGGCCAGTTTTTATTGCACCGATAGTAAAAAGACAGATAAAATGATAATAGTGTCTGTAACACTGGATGAAATGTATCTAGATTTTCTGTCACAGTGACACAAAATATCATATAGTCAGCATCAATCAGTAATTCTCAATATGACTCAAAATGCTGTCTCTCACCCCTGACATACTGTGGTTGGAGTGTGCAGGGAGAGTTTATGACACCCTGGGCCTTACCCTTCTTCTATCCCCACGTCCTCCAGCTGCTCTCCATCCATAGAGCCCTCTGTGTGATCAGCACTGCTGTCCTCCTCTTCCTCCTCCACACTGTTGCTCATTAAGCATCGAGGAGGCCAACGCAGCTCCCCGCTCTCCGGCTCGCTGTGCTCCGTCGGCTCCACAACGATAGAGGGGAGGCGCTCCCTCCTGTATAGGAAGTCTTCAGGATAGGAACTTGAGTCTGACTCTTCATTCACGTTAGCTTCAGGGAAGATCTGGACCAGGGAGGAGATTTATAAAGCTTTACATTTGTCTTCAAAAGTAGGCTTAATTATTTAGGTCTTATTTAAAAAAGAAACTTGAAGCCACCATTGCACATCCACTGAGAATGGACTTTACAGTAAAGTAGGAGACATCTTGTGTCCAGCAGGAAAACTTCAGAAATGAACATTTGTATAGTCCTAGATTCTTGAATTTTTAATGAGGTAGAAGGAGTAGGACTTTTTAAGGATTTTAATGTGGAAATTATACTTTTTCCTGCAGAAAAAAAAAAAAAAAGATTGCTCCAAGTAGACTATTTGTAGAAAGGGCATTATACATGTGGAGGGGATCTTGAAGTTATGTCTAGTCTAAAGTTGGCGGGAAAAAACAATACAAACTTGAGGTTAGGAAAAAACCCATATTCATATTTGAGGCCATGCTGTCATATAGAATCACTTCACATCCAAATAAACCTTATAAATGTCAGAGAAATAATCCATAAATATAACCTAAAACTTTCACTATATCCTGTAGTACACGAGAATCTGAAAAAATCAAGTTCTCGTCCCATCAAGCATCTTTATATCTTTCTTAGCTCTGATTGGTTGTTTTAGATAGATAGATAGATAGATAGATAGATAGATAGATAGATAGATAGATAGATAGATAGATAGATAGATAGATAGATAGAAATACTTTATTTATCCCCGAAGGGAAATTATAATGTTGTAGCAGCTGATTAAGAGTCAGTTATTATTAGAAAGTCTTATTGCAGTGGTGAGGAATGATTTTCTATATCGGCCCTTAGAGCAACGGGGATTTTTCACAGTTTATCTGTCTCACGTACTACTGTCAAGATATAGTGAAAGTTTCAGCAAATATGACAAACAATTATTTCCTATAAATTTACCTACTTAGCTTTCAAACAAACAAATCACCTACATGTGAAGACAGGTGATCCTATTTAACCAGGGCAATGTAAGCAGGTCACTGCACAAGAGTGAGCTAAAGATGTCAGCTGTACCTGGTAGGCTTTGCTCCCTCTCCTCTGAACTGGACTCTCCTCCAACTGAGATTCCACTTGACTGAGAATGGTGCTCATACTGCAAAAACACACACAAAACACATTTTGGGTCAATCTGGGTATATTTTGTCAGTAGAGTGTATATTATCCAGGCTCAACAATATTGGCTCATTCAATTTCAGCATTACAGAATCCAAAGATTTTCCTTCTTTACCTTAGTCTACACTGAATTGAAGGGAAGATACAAAAGAACTGTATCTGCTGATCTTTACAATATAAACTACAACTAGAAACAAGAAACCATTTCACAATAACCACAAAATACAGGTCACACTGGAACCAAGCTGAGTTGAACAATACTGCTCAGGCTACGTGTAAGGGTTTAATTCAATTCAATTCAATTTATTTATATAGCGCCAATTCATAACAAAAGTTATCTCAGGACACTTTTCAAATAGAGCAGGTCTAGACTGAACTCCTTATAAAGGTTGTCTTTGTGACACTTAAATGTAAAAAAAGCTTTGGGTAACACTTGCAACATTTGTCTGTAAATGTTCTATATTAAATTATAGGAGATTTTCTATAGAATATGTGACAATTCATGAACATACCCTAACCAAGATGTTCTTTTGTGCCGTAACCTAACCAAACTTAAACCGCAGTGGTTAAGGAATCTCAACTAGTTGTTAAAACAGTAAATACTTAATGGAAAGTCAGACTACAGGTAGTTTATAAGTGTTACCAAGTTTACAGGACAAAACACTTCATATAAATCCTGACTGTTCAAAGTACAGTATGATATAAACACGTGTTCAATCGAAGGAACTCAAATACCGATTATTTATCCTAAATTAAGAATGTATAATCAATGAAAGCTAAACAATATTGAACAAATGTGGTCCAAACATTTCATTCATAGCAGATTTCACTTTTGTCTTGGAGAATGTCCACAAAGGTGTCTTCACTAAACCCTGCACACTGACTCAACAGTGATTAGTATTGAAGTCACTGGGGCAGAGTTTGATCAAATGGAACTGTGGGGACCATATTGATGATAACTTTAATATTTAAAAAATGTAATACTTGTATTATGTTAAAGGTCCAGTGTGTAACATTTAGAAGGATCTATTGTCAGAAATGGACTATAATATTCATTAGTGTATAATTACCTGAATGATGAGCTGTTTTTATCTACAGATGCTGCAGGTCGCTTTCTGTTGATGTATGTATGTATGCTGTTGAATCGCCATGTTTCTACTTGAGGTGTAAGAAAATACTGACACACTTGAGTATCACGGTTTTGTTTTGTGGTATTGTATGGATTCTCAAACACTGCATCGATTTTTGTGTAAACGCCCACATACAGATGTACAAATGTGAAAGTCTGATGCGACCCATGATAAACAGGTTAATTTCAGGGATTTTCAACTCTCAGCTCCACAGGTACTGCTGGATGGGAGACTGTGTTGCCATATGTTTCACTGAGACATGTTCCAATGCAAAAACAGTGGGAAGTGTTGACAGCAAGTGTAGGGATGAGGAAGAAGGGAGGACGGAGGTAATCTGCAGGTAAGCACTTAATGACATAACAGGCTTAAACTACCGACTCCTCAACTCCGAGGATGGGGTGAGGATGAGAGTAGGTGGAAAAGAAAGCATAGGCCTGAGATAGGATAATAATTATCATACACTTTTGTCCGGTTCTACCTGTAAGGTGAAAAACCAGACCTGGCCAGACCAGACATTTTATTTACATCTATAAGGAGTTGCCAGTGTTTATGTTGGACAGTCTTTAATCACCAATTGTTTTTTTTTTTTTATTTATGTAGACTTAATAGGAGTCAATTGGTGCTTTAACACCACTATTCTATTACTATACTAATTGCACCTACTGTATAGGGAGCTGTTGAAACTGGGGCACTGATTGACATGATCCCAGGATGTTGGTGTGTATCAGAATTTGGATAAATTTAGTTTCAGGTATCAGAAACCCCTTGAAAAAATTATCTGATAATCTTTACCATCGCACTCCGACAATATGATACACTGGATTTATCACAGCTATGGAGATTTGACTATTGTGTAAAATTGATCTCTCTTCTTCTCTAGTGATTTAGTATTTAATCAAGTGGCTTACCTGTGTGAGGCAGGAATACAGCTCATCTTTAGTGGGCCTTAAAGGACCTAAAGCAAGAAGGTATTCCGGATGTCTTCTTTTACAAAAATGGTTCTGAGCCGTACTATTCCTCTTCAAAAGTCAACCACGTTGTGCTGTCAGTCAGTTTCCTTTCCTTTCCTTCTTCCTCCCAGCCACAGGTTTAGCCCCCCACCGGTTTTCCCACAGTTTACTGTTTAGTGACGCACACAACACAGCACACTCGGACTGACGTGCAAACCTGCTTTCCAAACTGACAGGCTTAGTGTCACCTTCAATTACAGACAAAGTCTGAATGTAACATGTGAGTGTACAGAAACACGGGGCCTCGCACACACACATTCGCAGGAGAGCTGTCCCATGCGCACACATTCATCATCACATCTTGGAGATTATTTTACATGGTGATTAATGCCAGAGGCTTTCCCCCAAATAACTTATCATTGAACAGAGTTGCTGATTCCATGGTAGATTATGAAACTCCCAGATAAGGCTACCTAATAGGGAATCAAAGAGGATTGTGGGTTTCTAGTCAAGTCTAAAAACATGATTTTCTGCATTATTTGGGGATCAGAGCTTAGTTTAGTGTGTGGTGCATGTGCAAACACTCCACCGCTAACTGGTAATGCAGTCAAAATTAAAGTTATTTTTATATACCTATACTGACTTAAATTAATCAGTCTGTCTAATTATAGCCCACATGGGGTGTTCCGCTGTTGTTGCTGCAGCCACAGGAGTCATTTTATATAGTCTGACCAGCGGGAGGTGCTATCACCTTTGTTGTAGTGCTGTCGTCTGTACTGTGACTATCAGTGGTCATAATGTTATGCCTGATGTGTGTATATAACTTATAAGAGCATAATAGCATTAGTATGAAAACCACAATTATTTTAAGTTGTGTAAATAAATAACTTATGTAATTAGTCTAATTTTTACTTTTCAGTTGCTTACTTTTTTCACAACAGATAACTTTATCTCTCTCATCATGTGATTAGTAACACAAAACATACTGTATGCTTAATTTCCACACTATGGCCTATTCTGAAATAAAATAATCACTCTCATGTGGAAGCACGGAGCATTAGTTTGATGTAGAAAATGCATTGTAAACTACTATAAAAATGGAGAGATTAAAAGTTGAAGACTGCAGTGTGTGGCAGCTGTGGTGTATTTATAAAGATAAAAGAGGAAGAAGGCAGTTCGCTTGAAACGCCAAAACAGAAAAGTTGGGGAGGAGAAAGAGGAGAGAGTGAAAAGAAGTACAGAGAGCTACAGACACTGCAGGAGAGGAGGAAAGAGGGACAGACATAATAAACGGATAAACAGACGGAGAGTGAAGGACTTTCAAAATGGGTGAGCTTGGGTGAGGGGAAACAAACTCTGCTGCATCCTGGACAAAGAGTGAGTGAGGGAGAAACGTGACAGGAGGAGGACTGAGAAGGGTGACAGAGGGGAGAGAAGAGTTAGACAGTGGGGATAGTAAAAAAGATTCTTGGACGGTTGACAAAATAAGAGATTTGCACTATTCAAAACATGACTGCATGTAACAGCAACAGCTAACGCTGATTCAGGTCAGTGGTTCCTGTTCGCTCTGTTAAAGGGGGAAGAAAAAGTGAAGAAAAGCAAACAAGGACAGGTAATAACAAAGAATGGTGACCGATGAAAAATAGGAATTATTTCAGAGCATGTACATGCTTTTCTGTTTCACTGTTGTAGCAGTAAGTTTGGATTACTTTGAATAGAGGGAGTGGGGAGAGAGGGAGAGGGAGACTCAAACACCAAAAAAGGTCTGGAGTCAGGGCTGGAGAAATTGCAGGCTTGACAGATGCTGCACACCCGTGGGGAGAGAAGAATAAGGAGAGAGACAGACAGAGAGAGAGAAGGGGACTGACACACAATGACAAGCAGGACGTAAGTGACAATCAACTAGAAGCAGCGAAGAGGAGGGAGCATTAAATGTTAAAAGAGGATGTTTGCATAGAAAAACTCCTGTACACTCCTGTACTGTGATAAAGAGTAGGTAGGAAGAAAAAGCCGGTCAGAAGGGGCAGGGGGTGGGGTTATCCAGAAAGACATCCAGAGAGCCTGTGTGTGTGTGTGTGTGTGTGTGTGTGTGTGTGTGTGTGTGTGTGTTGTGTGTTTTGGCTGGGGGGGCAGGGGGGGGGAAGTTACAGTCCGAAAAAGATAGTGAGGGTGAGTTGTTACTGTAAATGTAATTGTCAATACACCAACCAGAGCCACTGTAAACCCAGAGGTAGAGGAACATTTCCATTCTAAATCCACCATGGACACCAGGGTTTCACTGCAACTCTAAACCAAAGGGACCCCTCAGATACCGGCTGTCATGTCGACGGGCCCTGGCCTTGGTGCACCTGACCTGGCCGAGGGCCCCCCAACCATTGGACCTGTTGGGCTCCAGACCCTGTTGGATCTACTGGTGGGCGTCTACCAGGAGTTCTACTCTTCTCCCTTTGCAAGGGAGAAGTATGTCTCTGGTTTCCTGCAATGGGGTGAGTGTTTTTCTCTTTCTAGGCGTGTGTGTGTGTGTGTGTGTGTGTGTGTGTGTGTGTGTGTGTGTGTGTGTGTGTGTGTGTGTGTGTGTGCGTGCGTGCGTGCGTGCGGGTGTGTGTGTGTGTGTGTGTGTGTGTGTGTGTGTGTGTGTGTGTGTGTGTGTGTGGGTGGGTGTGCGTGTGTGTGTGTGTGTGTGTGTGTGTGTGTGTGTTTTCTTTTATGTACCAAGTTCTTCTACTTCTGCTTGACTGACACGCAACGCCACTGGGGAATTCCTGACAACTACACCCATATCATTTCCTTTAAATATTAACATGCTGACCTAAATTACTCTTCCTGCTATCAACAATAAATGTTCCTTGGCAACCACTCATCACACATTGACCAAGCGACCACAGCCATTCATTGTCTGAAATGGGCCAGTACTGTACTGTGTACAGGTTTTGGTTACATTTTTGGACCTTGGTATTCCTAAAACATCATCCTGCATGCATCCTACGAGATAGTACTGGTAGCTATGGGGGTTGGGTGCTAGGTGTGACACAGCTAGAAGCTGTTTACAACAATGGTGGCTCCCATAAAGGTTAGCGTCTGTTACTAGCATCAGTTCTATCAGAACTGGAGAGTATTTCTTCATTGAAAGAAAAGCAAAGAACGACACTGAATGCTTTCCTCCATTGAAAAGATGTTTTTGCTCTGATAGACAGATTGATCAATCACCTGCCGAGTGTTTTTTGAAAATGCCTGCCATTTTCCAAACAGTTTGCAATGACGACTTCCCAGATGTTTCTGTGTAATAAAACCACATAGCACAGTCAGGTGAAGTTCTACAGGCTGTGGATTTTAACAACCTGCTATCCTATGAATTACATTCATAATGTATGACTCTGCAGCTCACAATTTACAGCCAATGCCAATGTCAGTACCAAGGCAGGAAGTTGTGTCTGTTTTTTGGGTTTGGCGCCCCTATTGGCAGGACAACATCATTTGTCTGTGACTTCTAAAACTTTTATAAATTGTTGTTAGAAAAGTAAAACTGGTTTCTGATCGGACACAGCTATGGTTTAGATTTAGTTAGGTTTGAGCAGAAAACAGGTTGGGAGAGATGACAGTTAAGATTTGAGAATCATCATGGTCATGGTTAAAAGAAACTGATGTTTGCCTGTTGGTAGGAAACACAAAACAAACTCTCCTGTGTTACAGTCTGATGTTTTGTTGATCCATCCAGCAACCCTAACCTCCCTCTGTGGACTTTACAGCTTAATAGCAATGTCACACTACTTCCTCCTTTGTCTCGGCGGACAAGTTATTGGTACAACCCGCAAGAGAACTTTGTCACCTGAACGTAAACATATGTTGTTTGGGGAGATTTTTCTCCCAGATTTTTTTTTGGGTCAAGCAGAAGGGTTCTTAGATTGATCAGAGGGACAAGCCACTTCTCTACAATCACTGTAAATACAACCTCAAGTTACTTAATATTACTGCTTAAAATCATAACCCATCCAATAATATGTCAATAGTGACTTCAGCCTTTTCAACTGAAACAGACTGCAGTTTTCCAAACACAGCCAAGATTTGTTTAAACCATTGTCACGATTAAATATTGTGTCTGTTTACTGTTACTGTAATTATTCTTACCCAAACTGTAGGCAGTGTGTTGCCTATGTGGTCAAATGGTGCTTTAGGTTTTCTGATTGCCAGGGCACTTGTAGTACTTGATGACATTTCTACTTAAATTAATAAATGAATAAGTTGTCAAACACATTCATACTGTACATAAACATTTGCGTTAAGAATGAAGTTCACACTGTTACTTAATAATGAAGTTGGGACTATTGATTGAAGTTTGGGATGATAAATTAATCACATCAAATTGGAAAATATAATTTTTAATAATACTGAACTTTAAAAGTGATTACAGGAAATTGTGTCTGTGGTTCTGACCCCAAAGTGACCAAAGTGTTTTCCTAAATGACTAGAAAAACTACAAATTAAAAGCACTTTTATGATATCATAGTTTATTGATTTCCTTAGTAAATCTGCACACACCATCATGCCATCAGGGTCAATTACAAATGAGCTGCACAGAAGCTAATTGAGAGGGCACATATGCTCATTCGGAATCTTTCCAGTTGAAACATAATCTATCCATCACCAGCCACCCTGCTGGTGCACTTACATTATTTAGAATATCCTCAACTAAGATCTTTCTGTTTTTCCAGTTCTTGCTGAAATAGTCCAAGCAACAAGTCTCCATGGGATTTTACAGAATGTAGAGTGGGCATCAGAGCATAGTGTGTCATAGTATGTGCTCCCCGAATGGATATGCAGTTCTCACTGAGATATAAACAGTGCATTTGTTTTTGGTTTCTATACTGCTACATTATCAGATTGATTTATATGTGAAACAAACAGTGAGACCAGTAAACAATCAACAGAAAGCTACTGTTCCACAATTTTACATTCCAGGTTCTCAAATGAAGATTTATTTTCTCCAAAATATCATTGGGTCTTTAGAGTGTTGGTCAGACAATTCAACATGTTAGTTTAGAATTTTCTAGGGCTGTCCCCAACTAAATATTTTCTAGACTTGTAGTTGGTAATTAAAGACAATAGTCGTCTGGTTGTCGAATGTTCTTTTTTATATGATTATGTTAAATGATGATGGTAAAAGCAGTAATGATTCTGAATGTGTCGGAACAACCAGCACGGAGACTGAACATTTAGTTCATTTATTTTAACATAGTATAATCATCTCTCAAATGTCATTGTTCAAAACATGGAATAAATCACTTCCAACTACACAAAAACAAATTCTCACAGACTTGTTAACACAATGGATGATCTATATTGTTACCTACAAATCAACTCTCAACAAACTGGCTCCCCTCTCTTCCCCACCTGAACCCATCGTATGTAGTCCTGGTCAGAGTCAGTTCCGTTCGCCCACTCTAACTATGTTACTCATAATGGGGCCTGCTTGATTTTCTGACAAAGGAAAAGTGCAGCGACTAACAGTTTACTTTCTCAGCACTGTCCCATTCGCTTATTTTTCCTCAAGATAGCAAAGTTTTGATCTAACGAACTAACGTGTAGCAACAAAGTCAAACGCAAAATTCTGGTCTGTATTGAATAGATAAAATGGTATTGGAACACCACTAACATCTATAATTATTAGTAATTTAACTTTGAAACCTTAGGGAAAGCAGTTAGACTAAAATATAAGTAATTTTAGTCCTAACTTAAAAGTTTTAGTTTTTCAGGCAGGCATTTAGGAGTACCTCACTAACATTGCTATATGCAGGGTTTTAGAAATACCAAGGTACAAAAAGTGAACTTGCTAGTGGGGGTTTGGGGCATCAAAGCATCAACATAGTTATTTTTGGGCAATTTAGGCAAAGACTTCTATTGTCTACCCCTAGGAGAAAATAGGTCCATACCTTGGTGACCTCAGTGGTGGGTACACCAGAGGTGGTGGTACTAAATAAGAAGTAAGGGTACTCATCTGGACAAAATCAATCAATCAATCAATCAGTTTTCATCCAAACCCACACTGGATGCCACCCACCTAGAGCCGAAGGGTCTGTCCTAGGTTTCTGCCTCTTAACAGGCAGTTTTTGCTTGCCCCCGTCGCCAAGTGTTTGCTCATGGTGGTACTGTTGGGTCTCTGTAAATGTTATAAGGAGTTCATTCTTGAGTTGAAAATTGAATTGAATTCCATTTGAAGACTGACCAACAGGCAATTATTTTCCAGGGATTACAGTGTCAAGACCTCTTGAATTAGCCTCACAGTTTTGGGTACAGGATGTGAAGAGAAATTCAGAGCTGAGCTGTGCGACCACACAGACCTCCCCCAGTAACCTCTGCGTTATGACTCAGAATACATGTGTATGAATGCTTAGCCCGCTCCAAGGTCATGAAAGGCAACACTCTCTGAACGCTCGCTAATTTTCTACCATCCCTTGTGAACCTCTCAGTGACTTTTCCACTGGTGTCATGTCACTAAGACCACCATGAGTCAATGGCAGACACAAGGTACACATTCACTACTTAGATTTAGTGGTCATTATCTTAGATGGTGTCTTTCTGACATTTTTATAAATTATAGACGATTACACACATCATTACACACATAAACACGCTGAATGGCTCATAAATGCGGCCTATAGCCTGACGTCACCCCTCAATATTCACTCCATCCATTCTCACTCTATTACTGATGAAATCTATCTATGCATGTGACTGTGACTGTAACTATAGTATTGTCCAGTACGCGCGGGGTGGGGATTTGGGGGGGCTATCATGTGTCCCCAGTGAGTGGGACATTCCAAATTTAACCACACCATGTGTCCGGGAAAGGGGCTCAAGTGTCAGAGTTGGTCGTGATGAAGCAGATTTCTGGCTTTAGCTGGGCTTGAGGCCTGAGCCTCAGACTGAATCTGCTCGACACAGCTGGCAAGGATGATAGAAGCATCACAGGCAAGGGAAATAATGCTTTAAAGTTATATGTCTTCTTACTTCTCCTCCCTTTAACACAGAAACAACAACAATAAATAGTTGCTTATGCAGCAGCGTAAAAACTGACCCACAGGCGCAGCCAAGGCTGATGGAAAAAAATGTTGATGCGATCATGGCCATGAAAAGTTCACAAGACATCACTTAAGTGATTGCAATTCATCCTGAGGGGAAGATGAATGTCGGAACTAAATTTCATGACAATCTATCCAATAGTTGTTGAGCTATTTCAATCTTGACCAAAGTAATGGTCTAACAGACACTGCCATCCCCAGAACCATGCCACTGATGAATCTATTGCAGCGCACAATTTCCCAGAAGCCAAGGTGATGTCTTCATATTACTAGATTTGTCCAACCAGTGGTAAAAACCTTTTAGATATACTTAGTTTACATTAATATAAATGAGAGAAACCAGCAGATCCTTCAGCCCGTTTTCACGCCAGAGTAAAGTCAACTTTTGGTGTGACACAAGACTTAAACAG